TGCTGGGAAGTCCACGGCCTCGCGCCCCAGCTGGTGGGAGCCTGGGGATGGTGGTGCAGCGGCCGGGCTCCTCCCTTCTCCCGCTGCTTTCTCCAACGGCTCCATCCCTGAGTAGACCTCCTCCGCCCGGGCTCTGGCAGGCTGCTCCACACACCCCACAGACAAAGCCAGGGCCAGGAGGGGCAGCAGAGGCAGATGTCCGTATCTTCTTAACCCTCTGGCCTTCTGGATCCAAGTTGTCCTGGCTCCCTGGAGACCTGGTCCCTGCCACCTCTCCCTGGCCTGGCCATCTCCGCAGGGGAGGGACTGGGGGGCCTGCCCCTGCCCTCCTGTCCTGCCAGCACCCCATGGGCCAGCCCTACATCTCCTCCTCCACCTTCAGGATCATCCCTGAGAAGACCTCGAGCCCTGGGTCGGTGCCCTGTGGGCTGTCCTGGGAGCCTCTGGTGGGCCCATGGGCCACTCCGCCAAGAGGGCCACTGTCTGGGACGGAGGGTGAGGCTCCCCGGGTGAGGTGTGTCTCCACCAGCCTCTCAAGGGTCCGGTTGAGGGCCTCGACACCATCAGCCAGCCGCTGGCTCTGCTCTGCCAGCCGCTGCAGCAGCAGGTTCTGCTGGGCCATCAGTGTGCTCTGCTGCTGGGACCAGGAGGAGAGCAGGGCACCCTGCCGCCGGTGGGAGTCCAGCAGCCGCTGCTCGAACGCAGATGCTTCAGAGGCCACTGCCGGGGTCTTTCCGGAGGGCAGGGGAGGTGCAGACACTGGCGCCGAGGGGGGTGGGGAGGGCCGGAAGGCCCCCACGAATGCAGCTGCAGGTGGGGCTGTGGCTGGGGAAGCCGGTGGGGAGGGTGAGGAGGTGGGCGCATGGAAGACTCCTCGGAAGTCCAGGGGGTCGGGTTCAGGTGGGCTGGGCCCATCCACGGTCCGCAGGGGCAGCCACAGGCAGCTGGGGGCCTCATCCTCCTCGTCGGCTAACAGAGGGAGACAGGGAGACATCAGCCTGGGCTGGCCAGGAACGGGCACAGTGGAGGGGCGGGGTGTGGGGAGGGTGCCTGTTGGAGGCCTCTGCGCGCTGGGAGCAGCCTGGGTCTCACAACAGCCCCTGCGGTGGGGCAGCACCCAAGTGAGAGAAAAGGAATCTAAGACTCGGAGAGGCGCGTGGATTCACTCCTGCAAGTGCCAGGCCGCCATCGAGTCCTGAGCCTCCTGCCACCTGCCAGCTGTCACTGACCTATCTGCCGTCCTGCCCGCCCATCTGGATACATCCCCCCTCACTACTCACCCTCCGCCCAGGGTCTGCGCACCACTGGTCTAGCCACCCCCTTCCCTCCTCCCGCCATCCACGCACGCACCCTTCCATCTGTCCATCCTCTCATCCAACCAGGCACCCATCCGCCCGTCTGCGCATCCACCCTCCACCCAAGGGATGTCCCCAGGAGGATAAGAGGGCTGAGCATCCCTAGAGCAGCAGAATGAGCCCTGTGCATGGGATCCCGCAGCCCTGGGCTCCCGAACCAGCTTGCTTGGGCTCCATAGCTGCACGGCTCTAGGGAAAACCCTTTTCCTCTGTGGGCCTCGAGTTCCTAGTCTGAAAATACAAAGCTTTAAGATCTGTAAGTTTGGGACCTCTGACCCTTCCAGTTCTCCAGGTGTGAAGGACAGGTCAGCAAATGTCCCTCCCCAGCCTGCCCTGTGGCAGGTCCTGCGTGTGGGAACAGGATGTCGTGTTGGCGGTGGCCTTCTCCCACCTGCGCTCTGCCCACCTACAGCCTGGGCAGCTCCTGCCTTGTGACAGAAATGGGGTGATGGCAGCCTTGCCCCAAGAGCGAGGCCACACGCTGGGAGTGGGTGGGGCACATCCATGCCGCGGGGGGCTGGCCCAGTCGCCTCTGCCGCTGCCGCTGCCCTCTCCTCCTCCTCCTCCTCCTCCTCTCACAGGCATGTCTTCCTCCTGCTGTCCCAGGCATCTGCTGCTCCTTTTGACCAGTGGTCCCCGGGTGCTCAGGGGACAGGTAGTCTTGCCGACTTGCTGCCGACGAGCCCGCCGTGGGGTGGAGCCCCGAGCTTCCAGCCGCACTGCCTTGTTTGCCAGCTGTAGCCTCCACCCTCTGCTCCCAGGAGACCTCTGGGGCCTGGCTGCCCTCGGCGGCAGGGAGGTGGCGGGCCAGGGCTAGGACAGGAGGGCCCTGAGCTGGTGCCAGGACACCCAGCCCTGCCCCTGCCCACCCTGCCCCTGCCCGCCCTGCAGACAACCTTAGCACAGCCTCTCCAGGGTCTCCTCTCCCGGCCCGAGGAGTTGACCCTTGGTCACCCTGACCTGAGTCCCGTGGACACTGGCAGAGAAAAGGGACGGTTGGCAGCGGGCCCAGCCTCTGTTCTCATACCCCCAGCCCCCTCACCATGCCCTCTTGCCATGCCCAGGTGGGGGCCACCTGGCGGCACTGCTTACTCCCACCCTGATCTCCACCTGCCCAGGCCCCCGTGTGGCTCAGAACACAACCCCCCTTCTCTCTTGCACCCCTCTAAGGCAACCAAGGAGCCTCTCCAAGCACAACTTTGCCTTCTCAAAGTCCCCAGGGTGGGGAGAGCACGGCGGCCGCCCCTCCCTCATCACAGCCCCCACTCGCCATCCATGCTCCCTGTGGCATCCAGAGCTCGCCTGGGCTATTCCTCTGGGCACACACTGCACTGTCCCCACCAGGACAGCTCCTGCGTGCCCTCCAAGAGCCTGTGTTCTTCCGGGAAGCCCTCCAAGCCCAGCTAGCCTGGGGCCCGAGTTCCCATGGTAGCCCCTGCCACCCTCGCCTGCCTGGCCCCCAGGACACATGTTCTTTGAGGGACAGGCTCTGTGTGGTCACCTCTGCACATCAGGGCAGAGCAAAGGGCCACAGGGAGTACCTGAGACGGCGAGAACAGTGCCTGCCAGGCCCTCCCCTGGCTGGACCAGGGTCCCCAGCCAGCCTGGGCCCAGTCAGGCCCCTCGGAGGGCCGAAGGTCAGCACAAAGGCCCAGCGGTCAGGCCTCGAGGCTGCTGCAAGGCCCACGTC